TCATCCATACATCACCCATCCACCTTTTTCATCCATCCATCCATCCATCCATCCATCCATCCATCTTTACACCATTTCCATCCATCCTTTAGTCTGTCTATCTATCCATCTGTTCACCATTTTTAATACATCTATCTATTCATATATCCATCCATCTATCCATCCATCCATGCATTCATTCTTCCATCTGTCTGTTTATCAATAATTTTTATCTATCAATCCCTTCCTCCATCCATTCATCTGTTTGTTTATTAATCATCTTTCATCCATCCATCCATTCATCTATCTGCCTATCAATCATTTATTCATCCATCCATCCATCCATCCATCCATCAATCATTTTTCATCCATCCATCCATCCATCCATCCATCCATCCATCCAATTTATTCATCTTAACATCCATGTATACATCATTCATCCATCTTTCCACAATTTTAATCCATTTTTCATCTATCCATCCATCCATTTTCCATCCATCCATCCATCCATCCATCCATCCATCCATCAGTGTCTGTCTGTCCATCATTTTACATTCATCCATACATCCACCCGTACACCTTTTCTATCCATCCATCCATCCATCCATCCATCCATCCATCCATCCATCTATTCATCCATCCATCCATCTATCCATCCATCTATCAGTGTCTGTCTGTCCATCCTTTTACATTCATCCATACATTCACCCATTCACCTTTTCTATCCATCCATCCATCCATCCATCCATCCATCCATCCATCGTTCATCCATCTCTCAGTGTCTGTCTGTTTGTCCTTTTACATTCATCCATACATCACCCATCCACCTTTTTCATCCATCCATCCATCTTTACACCATTTCCATCCATCCATCCTTTAGTCTGTCTATCTATCCATCTGTTCACCATTTTTAATCCATCTATCTATTCATATATCCATCCATCTATCCATCCATCCACCCATCCATGCATTCATTCTTCCATCTGTCTGTTTATCAATAATTTTTATCTATCAATCCCTTCCTCCATCCATTCATCTGTTTGTTTATTAATCATCTTTCATCCATCCATCCATTCATCTATCTGCCTATCAATCATTTATTCATCCATCCATCCATCCATCAATCATTTTTCATCCATCCATCCATCCATCCATCCATCCATCCATCAAGAAAACACTGCATCAGTAACTCTACTTTGTAGAGTCGTATAATGTATAATTCAATGTGTTCCTTAGTATTTCTTTGTAATTATTCATGAACATCGCTTGCAGTTTCTGTGTGAAAAAAACAAACATTTCAAAGCAAATCTTACAGTAAAGTAACGTGTAGCTTCAGTTAAAGTGTCTGCCAGAAGCATGTACATGCTCAGAATGAAATATGATCTTGCATGCAGGGTTCTGCATATTAATGTTGTACAGTTGTGGGCAATTTAAAGCCATATAACATGCACATTTCAACAGCTTATCTGATCAGATAATCGAAAACAAATCAGAAAGTACTTGCCTAAAAAAACAGCCATTTTACAGTAAAATCCATCCATCCATCCATCATTTTCCATCCATTTATCCATTCATTTATCCACCGATGTCTGTCTGTCCATTATTTTCCATCCATCCATCCATCCATCCATCCATCCATCCATCCATCCATCCACATGTCTATTTGTCCATTATTTTCCATCCATTTATCCTCCCTCATTTTCCATCCATCTATCCATCCATCCGTCGGTCTATCCCTCATTTTCCATCCATCCATCCATCCATCCATCCATCCATCCATCCATCCATTCATCCATCCATCAATCCATCCATCCATCCACAAATGTCTGTCCATTATTTTCCATCCATTTATCCTCCCTTATTTTCCATCTATCTATCCATCCATCCATCCATCCATCCTTGTCTGTCTATTATTTTTCATCCATCCATCCATTCATCCATCCATCCATCCATCCATCTTTGTCTGTCGATTATTTTTCATCCATCCACATCCATCCATCCATCCATCCATCCATCCATTTATCATTTTCCATCCATCTATCCTTCTTTCCGTCCTTCAAAGGTATTTGGCTGAAGAGTGAAAGTGTGTCACATTGTTGGAGCATTATGTAAGGCAGTATGTATGCACTGCAGTATTTATTATTATGGTGTCCACTTAATTACACATGCAATATTGTGAGGTCGTTCGAAAACACTGCATATGAAATCATTGTTGCGTTCTCTGATTCACATGCTATTTTAATAGTAAGCACTATACACGGTATGTTATCTGCTGAACGAAATAAACAATACACCAGTACTGAATGTAGCTGTGAAGCTTTAGATACTTTTTCAGTCTCCTGCTTTTGTGCTGACATCTCAGACTGAACGTCTCGTTGCTGTTTCTTCAGATGTTTGTCAGATATCAATGATCTGTGAAGAAAACATCTGAGAACAAAGCATGTCAAGTGAAGACACACCAGATGGGCAATTCATGCTGTCGAAAGTGGGATTTCAAAACGTTAAATGCAAAAATCTCGAATCTGAGTCATATTTGCTGGTGTTTATCAGTCGTCTTTCTCTAGTCTGACTAGCTGCGTGAGCTTGAAATCTCTCTGCTGTTTATGCATCACCAACCTTCATGAATAAGTTATTAATTCCTCCACTTTTGGGTTCGTAAGATAAAAGACATGGAGCGGATAATGTTTGTTGAACTGCGGTGCATGTGAAACTCGCTTTTTGAAGCTGATTTCTTGATGAATGAGTGCTGATTATACAGCTATGGAAAAATGTTTAAAACATGAAAAGTGTGTTGGGTTTATTATTAGCTTTGGGTTTCAGTATTGTTTTAATTGGTCAAAGGTCTAATAAAAATGTATTTCAAATTCATTGTAAATATAATGTCGCTTTAGCTTTTTTATTTAATGTTTCTCGCATTGTAGAAAAGCATTGGTTTTTGGTTTTGCGCCACATATTGATTTCTTTACTTTTCTGAAGTTAAATCACTGATATTTGTCTAAAACTGAATATAAACTGCTCTGGAAATTTGATCTGCTGTTTCCATGCAAAGGAAATTTGCTTCATCCATCCATCCATCCAGCCATCCTTCCATCCATCCATCCATCCATCCATCCATCCATCCATCTGTGTCTGTCTGTTCATTATTTTTCATCCATCCATCCATTCATCTGTCAGTCCGTCCATTCATCTGTCCATCTTTTTCTGTCCATCCATCTGCCTACCGTTATCCATCCATCCATCCATCCATCCATCCATCCATCCATCCATCCATTCATCCTTCCATCTGTCCACCCATATATACAGCCATCCACTAATCTATTCAACCATCCATCATCTGGCTGTCTGTCCATCATTTTTTATCTATCTATCTATCTGTCCGTCCATCCGTCTGTCCGTCTGCCTGCCCGCTTGTCCGTCTGTCTGTCCGTCTGAACATTATTTTCCACCCATCCTTCAATCCATCAGTCTAGATATTCATTCTTTGTTTTACATCCGTCCATCCATCTTTTCGCCCATATATCCATCCATCCATCCTTTCGCCCATATATCCATCCATCCATCCTTTCGCCCATATATCCATCCATCCATCCATCCACCCGTATATACAGCCATCCATCTGTCCATCTTTTTACATCCATCCATCTGTCTACCATTTTCCATCCATCCATCCATCCATCTGTGTCTCATTATCATTATCCATCCATTAACTTACCTTATCTATCCAAATACACATTCCATTCCATTCCATTTCATTCCATTACATCCATCAATTTATTATTTCCATCCATTCATTCATCCATCTGTTCGTACGCATGGTGATCCATCTTTTTCCATCCATCCATCCATCCATCCATCTATCCATCCATCCATCCATCCATCCATCCATCCATCCATCCATCCATCCATCCGTCCATTCGTCCGTCCACTTGTTTATTCAACCATTCATCTATCCATCCATCCATCCACCCGTTTATCTATCCATCCAACCATCTATCTATCCATCCACCCACCCATCCACACATATATCATGCAAGTCCATTATTTTCCATCTATCCTTTCATCCATTCATTCATCCATATATTCAAACCTTCATTTTCTATCCATTCATCCATCCATCCATCCATTCATATATCCGTCCGTTTGTCCGTCCGTCCATCCACCTGTTTATTCAACCATTCATCTATCCATCCATCCATCTACCCGTATACCTATCCATCCAACCATCTATATCCATCCACCCACCCATCCACACATATATCATGCAAGTAAATTATTTTCCATCTATCCTTCCATCCATTCATTCATCCATATACTCACCCTTTATTTTCTATCCATCCATCCATCCATTCAAATATTCATCCATCCATCCATCCATCCATCCATCTGTCCATCTGTCCACCTGTATATTCATCCATCCATCCATCAATCAAACAATCCATCTGTGTCTGGCTGTCCATTATTTTTCATCCATGCATTCATCTGTACTTCTGTCTGACCTTCTCTCAATCTATCCATCATTTTCTGTCCATCCATCTGTCAACCATTTTCTATCCATCCATCATTTTCCATCCATCTATCCTTCCATCCATTCACCCGTCCTTGCGGTATTGCACCAAATGTTGATTTCTTAACTCTACTGAAGCTAAAACACTGATATTTGTCAAAAACTGAAAACAAACTGCTCTGGAAATTTGATCTGCTGTTTTTATACAAAGAAAATATGCTCGAAATTAAATGTTTTTATTTTAAAGATTGATGAAATGTCATCAGAAGTTTACAGAGTCATAAATATGGAAACATAACATTTTCGGTGCTCTTTTAATTATTTTCAAAACTGTATGTGACACATTTGATTAATGATCTTTATTTTTTTTTCCAGTAAAACATATCTGAACAGCGACTGCGACTTTTTAGAGGCTAAATGCAGTTTACCTCTCCATTGAGTGTGAAAACTCAGCCCACTGTATAAGCTGTATTGCGTAAAATTGACGCCTGTAAATGTGTTTTTGTGTTCTTTACAGCTATCCATGAGTTTCCAGATGATGTTTTCACCAATGCTGAACGGAAGAGCGGAGCTGTACTGCTTCATATTATAGCGGTAAGAAAGTCTGTATGCACATTTTTTCATAAAAAACATGGAGACTATCAAAACCTAGGGATTATGTAAAAAAAAAAAAAAACAAGTTTTGTTAAAGAACAACGAAGAATATCTGGTAATACCAGTAATATAAAGAGGTATTATAATGCATTTTAAAACAAAATCAGCCACAGGATTAAAATGCATGTGCGTTACTCTAGACTAGAGCTGTGATCAGGCCATAAAAAGTAGCCCGACAGGTACATTTTGATTGACAGCTTCATAAAGCCCAAACCCGTTTACAGCCCGACATTATTCAAATGTGCAAGGGCACACAGATCTTTTGCCTTTTTTCAAAAATGAGTCATTTATATGTTTTAACATAATTTATTAGTAACAAATGTAGGTTACCTGGAAGTTGAAACATTCATTCATTCATTTTCTTGTCGGCTTGGTCCCTTTATTAATCCGGGGTCGCCACAGCGGAATGAACCTCCAACTTATCCAGCAAGTCTTTACGCAGCGGATGCCCTTCCAGCTGCAACCAATCTCTGGAAAACATCCACACACACATTCACACACACACACTCATACACTACGGACAATTTAGCTTACCCAGTTCTCCTGTACCGCATGTCTTTGGACTGTGGGGGAAACCGGAGCACCCGGAGGAAACCCACGCGAAGGCAGGGAGAACATGCAAACTCCACACAGAAACGCCAACTGAACCGAGATTTGAACCAGCGACCTTCTTGCTGTGAGGCGACAGCACTACCTACTGTGCCACTGCCTTGCCGAAGTTGAAACAGAAGAAATAAAACAAGTCGTCTGTAACATTGTAACATCTCAGCACTCTAATTAGGCCTAGTTACAATCCAGGTGTCTGACCAGCGCCCTCTAGTGCCCTGTAGTTTCATTAGAACAGCATTTTTATTTCCATTATTCCATGGATAACAAAAAAAACAAGTGACAGACATGTCATTCTGTTACATTATATGTCTATTATATGTCTATTATATATATATGTATATGTATATATATGTATATATATTTATATGTAAATATATATATATATATATATATATATATATATATATATATATAGGGTGAAACGATACGCATATTTTTATTGAACCGATCGGTATGAGACTTTCAGTTTGGTACGCATTGCAAACCGAACGATTCAGACTAATATCTAAAAAGATAAAGGAGAATAAGTACAAAAAAGCCCGCAATGCTTGCCCCGCCTTTAAGCTCTTCTTATTGGCCCATTGCGGTAGAACAGAACGCACAGAGATTAGCTAATATCAGTCGTCAACCACTCAGTTCCGATAACAGGGTGCCACAGCCGCGAAATTGTAAAGGTCTGGATACGAGAAAATGAAAACAACACTGACAGATTTAGTTTTAGAAACCAGCTAGAGTTAAAACTAATGGTATATCTGATCAGTGATCATGTGCTGAATGTCAATCCAGCATTTACACTTTTCGAAGAGTGGATAAAAGACTTCCAGTGTTTAAAGTCCGCTATGACAAAAGCATTCACCGAAAAGCCGGTGGAATGGAGTTTTCAGGTAACAGTGTTTGCCCCTGAATCTACACATTTTAAGCATGAGACGTTATTTAATCCCTCATTTAATCATCACGATGTCGTCAGTTGTGCGACTGACACCGCGTTCACCATTGCTAAAGAGCATGCAATCTTTGAGATGAAAGTGATATTGTAGCTTATGAAAAGACCGTCACTGCTATTAAGAGGATGTATGCAAATAATGAGTTATAATATCATCTGTGCAATACCAGACAGCACCCGTAAGAACAGCACAGTGATTATTGTTAATTCAGTTCATCTCATTCACATCAAGTAGTGCGTGCAGGGCCGGGAGCGCATGCAGAGTTTGGTTTATTTGTTAGTTGTGATTAGAGAGTTAATATATAATAGAATCTTTTCATATAAAACGTGTAGTAACGGTGCTCATCATTTTTGGTGGGTGCGACTAAATTTTGTCTTGTGCGACTAAATTTTTGAAGTTATGTGCTACCAAGAAAAAAGGTTCATTTCGAGCCCTGTGAGATCTTAATCGGTAGTGGAAATTTCAGGTTTCAAGAAATTGTTAAATGTAATAGAGCCCCGTTACATTATTCCTTCATAAGCCCATTTCAGTCAGATAATTCCTGCTTTCAGATCCACTGAAATGGCAGGTGACCGTCAAATTAAGCAGATCTGTGCTGTCTGAAGAAAAAGTGGACACTCATCTTTCTGAAAATAAAAAAATACTTTAAAATTGATTAAAACTGAGTTCTATATAAAAACTAAATTGTTCTAAATTTGCTGCTAAGCAGAAACCCCAGAAGTATAGCTCTATCACAGTGTAAAGTAAAAGAAAAAAAAAACAAGATCATACTTTAATGATGCTAGTTTTAATACATTAAAAAAAATTAAGTCAGGGAAATCCTCCTCTGGCTTTTTTCTTTTCTTTTTGCTGTATCGAAAACGTACCGAACCGTGACACCACTGTGTCATATCGATCTGAACCAGGATTTTTGTATATATATGCGCGCGTGCACGCACGTGTGTGTGTGTGTGTATATGTGTGTGTGTGTGTGTGTGTGTGTGTGTGTGTGTATATATATATATATATATATATTAGAGCTGTCAAAATTAGTGCGTTAACGCATACAATTATTTAAAATAATTAACGCGTAAAAAATAATTAACGCAATTAATGCAGTTGCAGGTTTTTTTTACTTTCTGTTGTGGTGGACGTGTGTTCAACATGCAATAAATGTGGATTTTACCAAGGAAGCGCTTTTTGAAGGCAAGTTTCAGTATAAAACAATTAGTCGCATCACCAGGCTCTCCAGAGTTTCATGCAATTTCGGGTGTTTCATTTTTAACTTTCGGCATCAGTTGTAAGTTGATACCGCATGGCGAACAGAAAGAAAATCCTCCGCATTTCGTGACTCTGTGTTGCTTTAAGGTAATAAAATCACTGCTTAGGCTACACGGTAGAATTTGAATAAGAGTATAATCTTAATCATATTAAAATCGGAGTATTGGTGTCTTATGTGAATGTACTTTGAAAGTCTCTGGTGAAGTCGCGAGCTGTCAAAGACAGGGCATTACTCTGCCTTTCAGCATGAGCCCTCCAAGTTTAGCGTGTTTCCTCATTAAACACAATGAAAGCGTATGCTTCGCGTTGTTGTGTCAGAATCCTTGTGAAACACAGTAATACTTTAGGACGCTTAGTTTAAGCAAATTTGATGAATATCTGAGTAGGGGAGTGTGCGCGCGAGACGTACCTGAAGGATGGTGGGAGTGACTTGCGCGCGACATACCTCAAGAGCTTGGAGGGATGCGGGGGAGAGGGGTGTGCAATTTATTTAACGACCGGTTTGCGAGAAATTATCATTAATTTGCGGACATTTGGGAGTCTCTGTGCATTTGCGGGATACTCCTAGTCTTAGCAACTGGATGAATGTAAAGGAGGATTAAGCAAAATTATAATATTAAAACAATAAAACTTTACAATGAGTGCAACAGTTTGTATTCTATAGTTTATTATTATAATTTTTCATTTTCCATATCTGCAATTCCTGTATTTTGGCATGTTTTTGCAGTCCACTTAGAATCCAACATGGAAATCAATGTTTTCTTTATTGGCATTGATTGTTTTGAAATTTAAATATCATTAACATGCCTGTGTTTTAATTTCTTTAATAAATATGGCTGTCAAGCCAGGATCTTGATGGTTTATTGAGGGTATGTTGTATACATGAAGAAATCTGTGTTACAAGTTAAACAATAATTCTATTAAACAATTATATTTTGAATTGAAATAGTATTTGTGTTGCGTTTACATTAATTTTACATTTGAATAGCTATTTATATATATGCATATATATTTCTATTATATTTATATATATATATTTATATTATATTTTATTTATATGCATATATATAAAAAGCATATATATATATATATATATATATATATATATATACTTTTTTTATATATATGCATGTGTGTGCATGCGCGTGTGTAATAATATACTATGAAAAAATGTTTAAATAAATTTTAAACAAAAAATAAGTAGCCATTTATTCACATCATGATGAATAATCATACCTGAAGCCATTTGTTTTCTGATTTAAAAAAAATACCTCGCACCAAAAGGTTGCACATGTTAGAATTTTACAGTCAAGACTACATTTGTGAAAATGACCTCTTTTTTTCAACGATTAATAATGATTTTGAGCTCACTACACTTGAAATCTTAAGTTTATGCATTTTCATGGCACATAAGTTAAATTAACTCATGTTTTTAAGTGAGAGGACCAAAATGCTAAATTTTAAGTTGAGTCAATTTTACTTAATTGTTTAAATAAAGACAACATTAGGGTTTTCAGTGCAGTCATAATGATGATGGACAGATGCTGAACCAATAAGCAACCTAAGGGATTAATAAGAAGCAGAGAGGATGAGAAAAATAAATACACAAAGAAAAAAACCAACATCAAACATAACACTCCCCTCCTGATATATTGCATATTTAATATATATAAACACCAACCCAGACAGTATATCACTTCAAACTATTAAAAATGTCAATAAACGTCACTTTTTTAATCTTTTTAACATTAAAAGTTGTCTGAGGAACGATCAAAATCCCATAATGCAATGCAAAAGCAAAAAAATAGACAATCACAAGACACAGGAATCTGTTTACAGTCAATTTCTTCCACAGTGTAATGAGATATTAAAGAGTTTTTGTTTGTTTGTCGTCTCCATCCAGGCTCTCTACATGTTCCTGGCGCTGGCGATCGTGTGCGACGACTACTTCGTGACGTCTCTGGAGAAAATCTGTGAGGTAGGATTGTTCCGATCGCACGAACACAAACCAAACAATCCTGAGGAATTCCCATTAGAGCTGAGTAATACCGCAGTACAATGAGAGCAGCAGAATTCTTCCTCTGACCCACTTTGAGGCTTTCAGAAGCTCATAAAACACACCGCTCCAGATCTGGCGGCTGTTTCTGCCAACAGGCTTTGTCGGATGTGAAAGTGTCTGCTGTTTATTGTGTTGTGCAGAAGCTGAATCTGAGCGAGGATGTGGCTGGTGCAACGTTTATGGCTGCGGGAAGCTCAGCGCCCGAACTCTTCGCTTCGGTTATAGGTAAATGCGTCCCTCAGTCACAATCATTTTGCACAAAGAAACAATCCCATTATTCATCACAAACTCTGGGAATGTTTAGTTTTCCTTCATCAATGTTTATTCTGTGGACAACACTCATTTTTGACTAAAGTAAAGGGTGTATTTCCTAATGCGAACAGTACCTTAGTCTGTCAACAATAATTAATGAGGGGTAGGTCTAGTTTGAGGGTTACGTGTACAAATGGAAATACAAGTACAAATACAAGTGTATTTAAACCTGAGACATTACTGTCCAGCATTAACCATTTTCCCTGACTTTCATTTTCGTCTGAGACTTTTATGCACTATTGCAAATATAATTGCAATATACCATGTCATAAAGCGTGAATCATCTCAGACTGGTTTCTTGAACATGTCAATGAGTTCACTGTACTCAAATGGCCTTAACAGTCACCAGCTCTCAATCCAATAGAGCACCTTATATATATATATATATATATATATATATATATATATATATATATATATATATATATATATATATATATATATATATATATATATATATATACACACACATACATTTGAAGTCAGAATTATTTGCCCCCGTTTATTTTTTCCCCCAATTTCTGTTTAAGGTGGAGAAGATTTTATTTATTTATTTTTTTCACTAGATATTTTTCAAGACACATCTATACAGCTTAAAGTGACATTTAAAGGCTTAACTAGGTTAATTAGGTTACCTAGGCAGGTTAGGGTAATTAGGCAAGTTATTGTATAACGATGGTTTGTTCTGTGGACTAATGAAAAAATATAAAACTTAAAGGGCTAATAATTTTGACCTTAAAATGGTGTTTAAAAACTGTAAAGCTGCTTTTATACTGGCCAAAATAAAACAAAATAGACTTTCTTCAGAAGAAAAAATATCATCAGACATACTGTTAAAATTTCCTTGCTCTGTTAAACATCATTTTGGAAATATTTGAAAAAAAAGAAAGGAAAAAAAATATATATATATATATATATATATATATATATATATATATATTTTTTTTTTTTTTTTTTATGTAAAGGGGTAAATCACACACACAAAAACAAAAACTTATTTGAGTTTTTGTCTTCTGTTGAACACAACGGGAGATATACTGAATAATGTGTAAGAAAATGCATGGAGAGAAAATATACATTTTTGGCTGAACCATCCCTTGAAACACACATTTTTTAAAGGGATTAATGATAAACTGTGTGGTCGTATGCTTAGACAAATGGATATTGATTTAAAAGGGTTCAGATGGTATTATTATTTTTCTAGCAGAAAACAAGACGACAATACTAATAGAAAAGCATTGTAAAGCAGTGTGTTGTGTTCGTTTTCAGGTGTCTTCATCACTCATGGTGATGTAGGAGTGGGAACTATCGTGGGATCTGCCGTCTTCAATATTCTCTGCATCATTGGTGTTTGTGGGATCTTTGCTGGGCAGGTGTGTGTTCTTCTCCTCCAAATGCAGGCTGAAAGTCAACTATATTACATTTCTGCATAGAAAACAGTCCATCTAATGGTGCATTAAAGAGCACCAAAACTTAGCTTTATATTAAACATCAGATTTTTTTTCATGCACTGGTCAGTTGAGATTTTGGGCTGTTTTTGTGTTATGACAAGGCTTTTCTTATTAATTTGCATAATTTTGGATTTGATCTACTGTTGATGGTAAAAATTTTATTATATTTATTATTAAGTGATTTTTAAAAGTGCAAGTACATTATTTCCTTATATATTTTAATAGAAAAGGTGTTATTTATTTAGTTTTGCTGTAGTAATAATAATAATACAAAATAATAATAACAATAACAATAACAACAACAATAATAATAATAATAATAGTAATAATAATAATAATAATAAATTTTTATAAACTTAATTTAATTTAAACGATTAATTTCCCTGCTCTGCTAAACATCACTTGGAAAATATGTGAAAAGGCATCGCAATATTCACTGGAGGGCTAATAATGTTGCCTTCAACCGCGTGTATTTAACAGTTGTCTGCGTTTATGTCTTTAGGTGGTCTTACTAACCTGGTGGGCTGTTTTCCGTGACTCTTTCTTCTACATATTGTCTGTAGTCGCCCTGATTGTGGTGAGTCTTAAATCAAACACGCTAACATCTTTCTGTAATGAGTTTCCCGAGCTGTCATATAATTTTAAAATAACAACAATCAAAACATCATGCTAATTTGACTCATTTTGTAAATCTTATCCTACATTTTGTTTACCTGTGACCATTTACTAGCATTAGACAGCCACACACACTCTATTCCAACACAATCTCACGGCAATTCGTAACTTTTTCATTTAGTGGCTAATTCGTATGAATTCGTACGATCTAATTCGTACAATTTAGTATGATTTGCTCATCCCCCAATGACGGTTGGGGTTAGGGGTGGGGTCAGGTGCCACGCCTCCTTTTTAAAATTATACCATTTCGTACGACTGAACTCGTACAAATTCGTTTGAATTAGCCACTAAACTGGCAAAACGTAAAATACTTACATTTTCTCGTGAGATCAGGCTGTCTATTCTGTTGGTAAAGGCACAGTATGTACGATTTTATTCATTGAAATATCTCAAAATCACTTAAATAATGTTATATTTTGCTGACTTGTATACTTATATTATCACAAAGGTTTTAAGGAATGTTCAAACCTAGAGAAATAATCAATCTTAGCTAGTGAGACGGAGTGTGTGCTGTGTGTTCATGATAAAGACCTCACACACTTTTGATTTCCGGTTTGGTTAGATATTTAACAGAGAAAGAGTAGCGAGGCTGTAATATGTTGTGTTTTATTCGACTGCACAGAACAGCATTATTACAGAAGCCTAAAATGTATTTAGTCTGATAAAACAGTGCTGCTTTTTCTCCATGGGATCACGAGCTGAAGAAATTGAAGCGGTTGACTGTGGCATAATAAAAGCTCTGCTGCTCTCCTGCCGCTGCTTTTCCTTCTCTTCAGCGTCTCGTTTCACTTCTACAGCTGATAATAAGTGCTGAATTCTTTACTCACCCATCAACTCTGCAGTCCTTTAGGATGATGAAGACCACAACTACTATGATTCCACACATAGGGCGCAGCGCAATTGTTGTTTGCTAGTTTCAGCTCGGTGCAAGAGTTGTTTTGACGTTTTGCGCTATGCTGTTTAAATAGCAAATGCATTTGCGCTCATATGTGCGCCCATAGGCATTCTGGTCTAAAAAAGGAAGGCGTGTTGAGGCACATTGCTGGCGTGTTGCTATTTTGACAAACTATAATAGATTGTTTAATAGACCAGAACAAAGCTGGTCCAGCACAGAGCGCGTTAGTTGTGCACCTCGCTTTACACACTGCTTAATACAGACAAGGTGTAGAGCAATACGCAAATATCTTTACACAAAAATCCTTACACAAAAGAATTAAAAAATTAAGGATATATATAGTATATAATAAGGATATATATAGAATCTAAATATAAAGGATTAAAATATTACAAAACATATTATTTTCTAGCCTACATAAATATAAAAACCAAACCTTCATGCCTTCCTCATCTCGGGGGGCTTTTTCAGTTCATTCGTGACAATTTGCTTTTGTATAATGTTATTATTATTTGCAGTATTATTTATTATATGTATATTTATATTTGTTTTATTAAAAACAAGCTTAGATTTGCCTACCTGTCAGGTTTTAGACCATATGGGGCACAGCATGTGTATAAGGATATAACTCAGGTTTTTTTAACACATTTCATTATTATTACTCATTTTATTTGTTTGCTGGAAATTAGAACTGATTTTAGAAATAGTTTTGAAACAAATCTTTGCGGTTAACAAATGAAATTAATTATTTATAGGCTAAATGATGTCTGTGCGTACAACACGTTTCCCTATCCATGAGAGGGAAAGTGAAAGTAAAGAATGAGGAGGCTTATCTCTCATTCTCGCAAAGTTCTTACAAAGTTCATCATGTAAATAGCAAAAGCACTAGGGCGCGATGCAACTGGCTCTTAAAGGGAATGAGAGATGAGATTCTGATTGGTTTATTCTCAAAACACATCTATAATCCATTAAGAGAATAAGCTCAACCGTGTTAGACCATGCGCCACGGCGCAAAGTGGATTTTTCAGACCTTAAAATAGCAAAAGTGGATTCTTTTGCGCCCTGCTCTGGGACATGCTGCACATGAATCGTCAAAATAGAGCCCATAGTCAAACCTTTGTTTGTGGTGAATAGACACCCTCTAGTGGTGATGTTACATACTGCGCCTTTAAATGATTGAAATATGCTCAAGTAAACTTCAAGTACATTTTTATGTCAATCGTTGGAGCTTATTTACCTCCTAGGACTTAGTGGCCACATATATGGACAGTGCATGTCTTAACTGTTTTGCAGCAGATGAAATATCCCAAACACTGTTTAACTGTCCAAAATGGGCAAACAATGTTTTTACTGTTTGTCAAAACATGTTTCAAAATATATGTGTATGTGTTATTAATGCATTAAAAAACAGACAGCAAAAAACTGCTGTGTTCAAGGCAGAAATAAAGAGTTTTTCATTCTATTACACAAAGGGGACTTTTTTTCACTATTGTGTTTTATCTAAATTTGGACCACGAGTCCACATATATGGACATCATTTTTCTCTACAAGTACATCATATTAAAGATGATACTTGGGTTTTATTCTTACTAGGTTCCAATAAGCCCAAAAAGCAAAGTGAAATAAAAAGTGGCTGTAAAAAACAGCTTGGGCTTTAAGAGGTTAATGTGTGGTAACCCCCTCTCTAAAGCATCTGACATGTATATACTATATATAAAAAGAGAGAGAGATTTTATCACTATTTTTTAACACAGGCTTATTCTGAAAACGTCAAGTCCTATATACGTTTCTGGAGACCGCAAATGATCTAGCCAGAGCTATGTATGCAGGGCCGGAGTGGGACTCCTTTTCAGCCCTGGAGTTTCAAGCCTCAGACCGGCCCACCTCAGTTCACGACGGGCTATATTAAAATAAGGTCATTTCCAAATCAGTTTCTAATGACACTACCACATCTTTTTCAAGAAAACAGCTGCTTTAGAACTTCAAATGATCAACAACCCTAACAGTATTGTATGTCTTTACAATAAAAACGAAAAAAATAAAAATAAAAATAAAAAATAAAAATAAAAATTACTCAGGTGAGGTTCGAACCCGAGTCGGCGGTGTCATAACACATCGTGCTGTCTACTGGACCACAGCAGCTTTTCTTAATGAAGTGAATCATCTGAGTTACATCATCATTAACCTGCATTATGCACACAAGGCTGCGAGAAAATGAATAAAAAGAGCGGAGCTGCGGCAAAATAATGAATAAAAAGAGTGAGGCTTTGGTCAAATAAATAAATGAACGTAAAAAGTGTGACTGCTGAGAGCAAAAGAGTCTAGAGCTAGGGACACCGGCCCCCACGGCCAAAAAACAAACCGGCCCACCGGGAATTCTCCCAGTCCTCCTGATTAGCCAATCCGGGCCTGTATGTATGGCTACACTTCATTTTTTAAACGGACGCTACAGAGCGGTATGATGTCATTCCTTTTCCCGCTTACCAGCTGACCGCTTACCTCCGTATGATGAACAGCTTTCCCGCTGTAACCAGTTTGTCCTGTTAGCTTGCCATGTACGTCGGCAAACTTGAGATGCAGAGAGGAGTTGAAAACAACGACTGGGTTCGAGTTTCGTGAAGAATAGTTCTTGAAAGCAGGTAAGACAAAAACAGAATCCAAAAAAATAAAACAAACAAGTAAATAACAGGGTGAGAATGTGGTAAAACCGGGTAAAAATCAGACGAGGGCTTTTCTTTTTCTGGATTGCTTTTGAAAATTGTTGTTTGGGTTTAGAGAAGTGGGTGTATGGGTCAATCAATAAAATTGGTTGGGTTTGATTAAGGAGGAGGGTGGGTCAGTCGATTGGACGGTAAGTCAGTCAGTCAACAGCGGCCTCTAGTGGATTTACGCGTGAACAGCAGGCGCGACTGGCATTCGCGAGAGAAATTTGAGATCTCAAAAATCATACACAGTGGCCTCTTGTAGATTCGCGAAAACAAAAACATACCTCCTAGGATCTATTTCGTGGTCTCCAGAAATGGATATAGAGGTACGTTTTCAGAATGATCCTGGGTTTATTTTTTCTATTATAGCTAAAGTACTTTAATGATTGCTTTTTTGTGTTTGATTTATTGTCACCTGACATCAGTTCATCTACGACGAAAAGATTGTGTGGTGAGTCTCTTTTTTTCCTCAACTTTAGTAGTCTTTTATCTGATCACTGCTTTAAGATAAAATCGTAAAAATCTCTTGTGTGTTTTAGGTGGGAGAGTCTGGTGTTGGTGGTCATGTATGCCTGTTACATCCTCATCATGAAGTGAGTATTCATCGCAGACATAAATTAGAAATAATGGTACAAAAAGGTTTTAAAAGGTATACTTTTGTACACGAAAGGTGCGTGTAAGTACCAAAAGGATCTATATTAGTGTAAAGGAGCGTCGGGAGATTGAGGATCCATTTGCAGCTTTATTGAATCACAACAGAATGGTCGTACAGGCAGGATCAGATAACAACAAACAAGGATGGCGAAGGAGAAACTTAACTCAGAGTCCGAGGGCAGGCGATTGGTCGAGACAGGCGGCATACAGCAGAGAGAATGTTCAGTTAAACTGAGCAGAGGGTCACAGAAGGCAGGCGGCATCAACAATGATAGAAATGGGGAAACAGTCCGGGGTCAAAACACAGAATCAGATCGCAAACAGAGAAAACGCTCAGAATTGTATGCAGGGCAAAACAAGACTTCGCAAAGAGTAGTAGCGGAGAAGGAGTATAAATAGTCAATGGGATGGCTTTCAGCTGGCAGGGTAATCAAACGGAAAAGATGCTGGGATATGTAGTGAAACTGAATTAGTAGTCCGGTGATGATGACCTCTGGTGGCGATCGGGGGGAACCGCAGAGGTCAGAGATGTTACAATTAGTACCTTAAACCTTTTTTATGACACTTGAAATATCATTAGAAGAACTCTGAGTTATTAAAAGCGGTGATGGAAATAATGCTGCTATAAATGAACAGCGCTGCTAACGGCTATACTTTTTCATTAAAGAGTAATTAATTGAATTAATGTTTCCCCCGTTACAACGTCATTACCGTTACTGACAATACAATGTGTGGTTCTATAATTGAGAAGACTGAAGTGGTTTTTATGTGAGCTGCGTCTCTCTCAGCCATAGAACCTCTGGGGTGTGTGTCTGTGTGTGTTTGGGACTGTGGCGGGACACATAGCCAACCAGTGAAGATGATTGGTGTGTCTGTGAACGTGATGTAACTGAGAACTGATGATTGGCTTAGATAGAGCACTTTCCATAGTTTGCCAATCAGAGGCAGAGTAGATCCGATTTTCACACAAGCATGTGCACGCGTCAGTCGCACACACCAACGACCAGGAGTCAGAACGATGGCAAGTCCGACGAGTTCAAAGGTAGCGTCTGCAAACTGGATTTATAAGCACTACTTTTCCCTCGTTGAGGTGAAAAGAAAGAATGTTTATGTAGCTTGCAACTTATGCCCAGGACAGAGTCTCTCTGCATCGATGACAAATACAATAATAGTAATAATAATTCATTTTATTTGGAAATGGCGCCTTTCTAGACACCCCAGGTCACCTTATAATAAGCATCGACAGCCATACTATAACAAATTAAAACAAATAGTAAAACATTACCAAACAATCATTGACCAAACAAGTATAAAAACTCATCGCGAATATAAAATAACTTGATAAAAAAGGGTTCGGGGAGCACAGGATTTCATCTCTGTTATTCGCAATCAATGTTGTTCTGTTGGCTTCATTGAGTGTGAAGTGGCTGGGATGAGAATCAGCACCTCCAAGTCCGAGGCCATTGTGCTCCACCTTAAAAGGGTGGTTTGCCATCACCAGGTTAGAGGAAAGTCCTCACCCCAAGTGGAGGAGTTTAAGTATCTCGGGGTTTTGATCATGAATGAGGGAAGGATGGAGCGCGAGATTGAAAGGCGGAATGGTGCAGAGTAGGGTTGGGCATCTAAGCTATAATGCCGATCCGATACGCATCTCGATACAAAGAATACGATCCGATATATTAGCGATACATTTATGACATATTGCGATGCGACACGATACGATTCACACCCATATCACGATACAATGCGATAATTCAGCACTAACTAATTAAATCAAGTTTATGAGATGATGTGAAAGAGGATGCTGTGCCATTGAATGAGTTTGATTATTTATTAACCAAGCAAAACCAAGACTTTTTTTACAAACTGGCTTTTCTCTCAGAGCCAGAGTGTCAGTTTACAGTAGAGGGCCATTTTAGAACCTATAGCACATATTATTTAAGTATTTTCAGGATAAACAGAATGTATAAGTAGTGCAATATATATTAAAATATATATATTTGCACTCTTTCAACATAAAGGTTGAGCATTGCACAACAAGAATTGTGATTTAACTTTAACTATGAAAACAAGTTTTACAAAGATATATTTTGCCACTAAATATCAAAACTTAAGGTTGTGAACTAGCAGTGTTATGCTGCTTTGAAACGTCACTGTCACTGTAAACAACAGGCTAATAAAAATATAACAAACCAGCAATCTTCTTGCTGTGAGGTGGTCAAACTACCCACTGTGCCACCGTGACACCCATTATTTTTATCATTATTATTATTAATATTATTATTATTATAATTAAATAAAAATAAACAGGAGGAGGTGTTTAAAACCTTCGTTCTCCATGACACTAGGCTGAATATCTTTGCAGATGAACAATGCAATAGCATTCGTTATTTGCGTAGAGCGAGCAGAACTGTTGCGCATGGAAAAAAAACTTGCAATGCTTTTCTCACCACTTTTGGAGCTGGTTGAAGCAGTGCGAAAGCCGGGGATGCAGGAACACTGGAAGATGCTTTCACAACAACACCGTGGCGCCGCTTCAAGTGAGATTTCAGATTAGTCGTACTGCCCGCGTATTTTACAGATGCGCGGCACATTTTGCAAATTGCATCTGTCCTGTCATGTCGTCCATCCTTAAATCCATAATGTTGCCATACTTTAGATTTAAAACTAAGCGGGGAATAAAATGTTTGTTTTGCTTCTCGCGCTTTCTGAGGGCGCTCCACTAGCTTCATCCTCACACCTGATACACTGAGTTGTAGTGTAAGTGTACACATCCGCAAATCCGTTGCTAAGGCTTACTTTATGTAGGTCGATTAAATTATGCGCCAAAAACAGGTTGACAACACTTGTTAATAAATAAAAAATACATTCTATATTAAAAAGATAAGCTGTATCTCGGAAAAACCGATGCATCTCGCAAAAACCGATGCATCTCGATTTGCTTCCAAAATTTCATTCGTCCTCTGCTGCTCAACCGATGCACTCGCATCGTGCACGCGCATGACCACGTATCGATACATATCGATTAATCTTCCCATCCCTAGTGCAGAGGCAGCAGTAATGCGGTCGATGTACTGGTCCGTTGTGGTATAGAAGAAGCTGAGCTAAAAAGCTAAGCTGTCTATTTACTGGTCAATCTACGTTCCTACTCTCATCTATAGTCATGAGCTTTGGGTCATGACCGAAAGTACAAGATCTCTGATACAAGCGGCCGAAATGAGTCAAGGGTGGCAGAGCGCACTCTTATGGATAGGGTGAGGAGCTCAGACACTCAGGAGGAGCTCAGAGTAGAGCCGCTGCTCCTCCACATCGAGAGAAGTCAGCTGAGGTGGCTTGGGCATCTGTTTTGAATGCCTCCTGGATGCCTCCCTAGGAAGGTGTCAAGGCATGTCCCACCGGGAGGAGGCCTCGGGGAGACCAAGGACACGCTGGAGGGACTATGTCTCTCGGCTGGCCTGGGAACGCCTCGGGATCCCCCCGGAGGAGCTGGAGGAAGTGTGTGGGGAGAGGGAAGTCTGGGGTTCTCTCCTAAGACTGCTGCCCCGTGACTCGGCCCCAGAAAAGCAGCAGAAAATAAAACGAATGATAAAAAACATGATTAAATATTGTGATTTTAATGACAAGTGATTCTAATCTATTGAAGCACCTCATGTCGTCACATGCCACCACAAAATTAGTGGCTACGCAGGTGATCACGTGAGCTCTGCTACCAAAGGAGACGAAGCCATGACGTTAAAGTAAATAAAACTTGATTTTTCTCCACCTCAAGCACTCAGACAGAATTAAACAAAATAATACCTAATGTCTATTAGTTGTAAACCATCTATTGTGTTTTATTCAGCCTGATCTCACGAGGAAACGTAATTTACGTTTTGTCAGTTTAGTGGCGAGTTCAGTCGTACGGAATTGTACGATTTTAAAATGGAGGCGTGGCACCCAACCCCATCCCTAAACCCAACCGTCATTGGGTGAAGAGCAAATCGTACTAAATTGTACGAAGTAGATCATACGAATTCAAACGAATTAGCCAGTAAATCAAAAAGTTCCGAATGAGATTGTGTTGGTCTTATTGTGCAACTCTGGTAATGTTAATATTTATAATGATATGTTGAATTTGATGGTTTTCTCTCACATTGTCCCAGAACAACATTAAAATAGTGTAGATTAGTGCACAATTGTCACAGTTCGGTGTGAAGTGCAGGAAAGAGAAACAAAAGTGCGGATCCAAATGCAGCATTTAAGAAATGTAATGAAAAACTATAACAAAACAAGACTAAACTAAAACAAGGCAGGAAGCACACCGACATGATGGGAGCAATGAAAATAACAACAGACAACAGGCCAGACTGTTTTTCTGATCATTCTGCTAAAAATAATAACAAAGATAAAATAAATCAGTTATTAGAAATGAGTTATTAAAACTATTCTGTTCAGAAATGTGTTGATAATTCTGACTTCAACTCTACTAGTGATCAATAAGGGGTTCAGTTGTCATGCAGTTGTCATTTTGCTTTAAACATTTAACATCTTTAGATTCTTCTAATACTTTAATTTTTGTTTTTTCTGTGTTAGATTTAATTCAAGATTGCAGAAGTTTTTCACAAGAAAGGGCAACAAGAATGTTGCGAATGGGAACGCAGCGGCTGGCAGTGAACTGGAGGACGGTAAAGAAAATCCTGATCTGTCAGTTCCATTGTGGGTTCAGGTAAGACTAGACAGACAGGCTAAAAAAAAAAAATCAGATTTACTGTAAGTCAAGTCATGCCTCGTAATTCAAAAGTGCCAATAAATGACGATATATGAGGTTATATATGAGGTTAACAATTCTCAGTTTTCAAACAAACACAGCAAAAAAAAAAGAGTGACTTGAGAAACTACTGTGGCACTTACATAAAATGAAATAGTTGTAATTGTAACGACGGGGGGAAGTGACAGAGACAACTGGAGGTAAGATCCACAATGCAGGTTTATTCAGTATCAGTCAAGCAATGATCAAACAGGTGTAAACAGGTATATGCAGGCGAATCCAGAGTCGTAATCAATATACAGGCAATAGGTCGTAAGGCAGGCGGCTAAACAGGATAACAAGGATAATCTAACTAAGCTAAGGTCGGTACACGGAGAAACAGGACAGGGAAAACACGTTGTAGTGTTACTGACACAGCTAACAAAACTCGGCCAACAGGATGGGTGAATGAGTGGCTTATGTAGTGTCTCTAATCAGTCTATGAAGGTTCAGCTGGTGAGTGTAATCAAGCTAGATGAATGAGCAGGCGTGAGTGTCTGGGAGAGCATGCATGAATATGTAGTCCAGGGGATCTCCGGAGAGCAATCGCTGGTTATCGTAACAGTAACCATATGTGTATGATTCTTATGTGCAATCATTCATTTTCTTATTATAAGTCTTAGTGTTAGGGTTAAGTTAGGGTTATGGTTATGGTAAGGGTTAATTAGAATAGGGTTAGGTTAGGTTTTGGATATTAACAATGACTCCCCTATGCTTCAGCATCCACAGTCGGCAAGATAGGGATACCGAGGAAATGCACTGGCCTAGTTAGACTCTTATCATCTGGAATCTCGATCTGGCAACCTGTCTAGGATACCCAGCCTATATCTGTAGGGTTATGGGCTCTCGAAATGTCTCCAGATCAAAATCTATAAATAATAATAATAATAATAATAATAGGAAATACAAAAATATTTACAATGGTAATAATAATCATAGTAAAGCGTAATACTAATATATTACATATATTTATAAATAAATTATTTATTATTTATAATAATAAATGATGATGATGATAATAATAATAATAATAGTTGTTGTTGTTGTTGTTATTATTATTATTATGTTTATTATTATTATGTTTTATTATTACTATTATTATGTTCATTATTATTATTATTATTACTACTACTACTACTATTATTATTATTATGTTTATTATTATTATTATTATTATTATTATTATTATTATTATTACTACTACTACTACTACTATTATTAATAATATTATTATTATTATTATTATTATTATAAATAATAATAAAGTAATAAAACAATCTTATGTGCCAAACAAATATCAAAATATTATCATTGTATATGTTGTGTTGGGTATGGACCCTATTGGTGGTGGATAGGGTTAGGGTTATGGTTAGGGTCAGGGTTAATTAGGTTATTGTTAGGTTGGGATTAGGGTAAGTTAAGGTTAGGGTTAATTAAGTTAGGGTTAAATTAGGGTTAGGATAAATTAAGGTTAGGGTTAGGGTTTATTAGGTTAGGGTTAGGTTGGGGTAAGTTAAGAATAGGGTTAGGGTTATATCTTCATTACTAAAATACAAAGAGCTATGTTTGTTTATGTATTTGATTTTCCTAAAATAAAAAAAAATTCTATTAATTTTTTCAGAAAGTGAAAGTTAAAACATTGTTTAAACAATGGCAATCATTTGTAACATTCATTCATTTGGTTTCCTTTGGCTTAGTCCTTTATTTGCCACAGTGGAATGAACTGCCAATTTATCCAGTATATATTTTACTCAACGGATGCCTTCCAGCCACAACCTAGTACTGGGAAACATTTATACACACTCATTCACACACACACTACGGACAATTTTGTTTACCCAATTTACCTAAAGCGCATGTGTTTGGAAACACGAGGAGAACTTGCAAACTCCACACAGAAACACCAACTGACCCAGCAGAACTCAAACCAGCAACCTCCTTGCTGTGAGGCGACAGTGCTAACCACTGAGGCACCATGCCGCAGTTTAGTCTTTTGTTCACGTATATTTTGTCTTAGCGAGAGAAGCGTCCTCCTGATTCAGGATTAATCAGAAATGTGAGCCTGGGGTTTGTTTTCCAGCTTTTAAGATCTCAGCACATTTCTTTCCTCCTTCTGTTCATCTCTGATGGAGAGGTAAAGTCACGGTCTCATCTGTCTCTCTTTAACCTCTGCTATGTACTGTGTATTTTTTATAATTCTTCTCATCTAACTCTGCCTGTCTGTGTAGTCCTACTAAACCTTTCTGCATGAACTCTCAAACTTTTTTCTGGTGCTAAAATTTGCAGTGCAGTGCTGTAACATTAGTTTAAAGTCTTCCAAGAGGGTACCTTAATGTCAAAATGACATCTAAAATACACCTGCAAATCAATTTAATGTCAATTGACTACCTTGATGTTAAAACAACATCAAATTGACATCTATCATTAGCGGCAAAAACCACCGCAGTAATCAGATAAGTCCAGTAATTGTTTTTTGACCTGGTTTATTTACACCAATGTAAGATGCTTCTGTGCTGAAACAATAGTTTACAATCTTCCAAGATAGGGGCATAATGTCAAAATGTGGTCGAAAATGCAAACCGGTTTGATTCCAATTGACTACCTTGATGCCAAAAAGACATTAAATGAACATCTATCATTGGCGTCAAAATACACCTCAAAAATCAATTAAGGTCAGTAATCGATTATTGACGTGTTTTAACCCAAAGTTAGATGTTTCTTTGCTGAAACATTCGTTTAGATTCTTCCAAGAGGGCATCATACTGTGAAAATGACATCGAAAACAAGTCAAAAATGCAAATTGATTTGATGTCAATTGATTATCTTGATGTTAAAGCGACATCAAATTGATATCTAACATAGGCATCAATATACACTTTAAAAATCAATTATAGATAAGTCCAGTAATCGATTTTTTTTTCTGTGTATTTTTTACACCAACCTTGGATGTTTTCTGTGCATCTTAGTCGTCCAAGAGGGCCCCATTATTAGTGATGGGAAGTTCGGATCATTTTACTGCCTCGGATCTTTGAGTCTCGTTTATCGAGATGAACAAATCTTTTTTCGAGTCATTTCGTTCATTTGGTTCAATTTGCCAAAATATTATTAAAATGTTATGAATTGCTTCCAAACACATCTACAACTAGCCCAAAAGGTTGATCACATGACAAAATAAGTCATAAATAGAATATAAGAAGGAGAAAATAATAATTCAATGTTTACCTGCTCTTTTGTCTCTATGAAGGCAGTTTTGTCTCTTTGCTCAGCTCACCTCTTCATGTCTTCAAATGTTAGTGGTTCGTTCACGTTACACTGACAGTCACATATAATCTTAACCAATGTTCAGTCTGAGTCGATAGGAGCCATGATCGTTCGTTCATCACGTGACAGAATGACTCAAACCCGAGGACTCGAGAGATGAACGGATCAAAACTGTTTCCGGCTCTAAACGCATATGATTGGCTCATGATGAACGAATGACTCAGACCCGATAGTGGACTCGAGAGGTGGGCGGATCAATTCTTTTTCCGGCTCTAAACGCATATGATTGGCTTCTGCCAATGTGATGAAGACTTGAAATTAACGATACCACCTGCACAAATGTGCGCACGCGCGGATGGACGAATCACTCCCTGAGAGGACTCGTAGTTCCCGAGTCATATTGAAGATTCGTTCAAAATGAACGAATCGTTCATGAACGACCCATCACTACCCATCAAGTAAAAATATGATCAAAAATGCTAATTAGGGGTGCATTGCCGAAAACTATCGGTAGCTAACTAAGGTTGCAAGTTGTGCCGTTACAAACATAGTTCGAGAGGCCAGCATGGGATGCTCAACCTTTGGTCTGTGTGAGTTCTAATGATCCAGTAAAAGTGAAGCCGACACTACACTGTCAGTGGGCGCCGTCTTTCGGATGAGACATTAAACCGAGGTCCTGACTCTCTGTGGTCATTAAAAATCCCATGGCAATTCTCGTAAAGAGTAGGAGAGTAACCCTAGTGTCCTGGCCAAAGTCCCTCAATCAGCCCTTACGATCATGGCCTCCCAATCATCCCCATCCACTAAATTGGCTCTATCACTGTCTCTCCTCTCCACCAATAGCTGGTGTGTGGTGAGCGCACTGGCGCCGTTGTCCTGTCACTACCATCGCTTCATCCCAGTGGATGCTGCACACTGGTGGTGGTGTGGAGAGACCTCCCCCCCTCCATGATTGTGAAACGCTGGTGTATTGCCATACACAATAAATGCACTATATAAATACACATTACATTACAAACATAGTTTGTTGATGTGGTGTTTCCCAAATCCGTTGTTCCAATGAACATTCACAAACTGCTTCGCAAACTTCTATGCTTGCAACTACACCTCTGGAGCTGTAGTTAGAAACAGTTCCTAGCTGTGTTCTATTCCCAGTTATCCCCCCTATGCCCTATTCATTTAGAACATGCTAACATTTAAACTTGGAATGATTTTTAAAAATAAAGCATTAAGGTCATCTCTCTTAGGTGTCATTTGCTTTCAAAGTATTCTTACAGTTCAGTTTTAGCGATCTTCATGTTTACAATTGTGCTCCCTTCGCAGTGCACTTTGAAAACATTGATGCCATTGATCTAATATTTAAAAGAATTTATGTTACGTCTCCAAAGCTTGTGAATACAAAAAACATAGCATTTGCTAATGCTTTTAATTTGTAGTGGGTTATTTTTTAAGTGTCTGTACTGTATATGACATGGGCCTGTTGGTTAAAACATTTCTGCAGTGGTTTGCATGTGTCAAATTGTAAAAGTAGACTTAAAAAATAAAATAAATAAATAAATAAACAATATCCTACCTAATAATAATAATAATAATAATAATAATAATAATAATAATAAT